CTAGACAGCTATGTTCTGTTGTTCCAGGCGGCAGCGTTACGGTTGCCATGGTTACAGGTTGACGCGCGCTCTCTCTGCGACTGTGTGTTTCCTGGGTGAGAGAGCGCCTTTTTGTTGTTGTGCTAAGCTAATAGGCAGAATGCTACAGGCATAGCCCTAAAGAATGTAGCTTCATGGGCAGTGTAGTCTGTGCTGCAGGGAGAATGGACCGCCATACCCGTTATGTGTCTGTGAACGCGAGGAGGGAGAAAAAAGAGAGTGGAAAAGTACGAGTTGAGCAGAAACGGGAGCTGGAAGCATGTAAATATAATAATAACCACTGCAGCCAAGAAGAGTGCCTGACGAGCCCAGTTGTAAGTAAGCTATTAAGACTCGACTGTACACCGTGTTCGTGTTTTCCTCCGAAACAATAAGTTCCGTTGGAGCAGCCTTTCAACGCCTCTCTCTGTCTCTCGCTAGCAAACTTGACCCAGACAACAAAGTAAAGCTATTTTTCGGCTACGAGCCCGACACGGAACCCGACGTATTAGCCAGAGGTCCCTTTACTACGGTTCGGAGCCGCGGACCTTCAGTAATAGTAATAAATCACATTCATGTAGTTGTAAACAGCATGATAATATATTAAGTAATCCAAAGTATTCAGAATACGTTACTCTCATTGAGTAACGTAACGGAATACGTTACAAAATACATTTTGGGGCATGTATTCTGTAATCTGTAGTGGAATACATTTTAAAAGTAACCTTCCCAACACTGCCAGCAAGTCTTCACTCCCTGGTTTCTGGAGGGATTTTGAAACCTCAGTGCTGGTCTTATGGAAGCTGTCGTTTTGTTTTCTGAAGTCAATTTTGACCGTCTTTGGATGAGAGGGTGGAATGCTAAGCTATCAGCTAATAGTAGTTAGCTTTGTTATAAGCTGATCCAAAGACTGCAGCAGTGTGTCACATAGACACTGAAATCCTAGAATTTCATTCACTAAAAGCGAGCTTAGACTTTTTGAACGGTCTGTGAGTATAATTAACCACAAAGAAGACATCATTGGTAAGATAACGGTATTAAAAAGACACAAAGGTCCCCTCCTGGGACCACCTGTGTTGCCATACACCTGTCAGTCAAATAGGCCACGCCCCTAATTATGCAAACTTTTACCTCAACAATAGGGCTTCGGAGCGTGATGTCACGGGGGTGGGCGTGGAAAGGATTTTGGCCCGATTCACCATTTTGGGGGTCTAAGCTAGGAGCGATAGCATAGCCATGGTTCGTACTTGCTGTGTGCTCGGCTGCAATGTTCGATCTTACGACCGGCACGGGAATAAGGTTGGATTGTCTTTTTATGCTTTCCCAACCTGGAAGCAACATGAAGGAGCTCATGTATCGGATGTTACCAAACGAAGGCGTCTAGCCTGGATAGCAGCCGTGAGACGAGCTGATATCAAGTTCTGTTACGTCTCCAGATATCAGCTGGTGTGCTCACGACATTTTCATTCCGGTAAGTTCTAAATATGTTCTTATCACACTTTATAGCTGAATAATATTACCGTTGATGGTCTCGGAAGTTATAGAAATTGCGATCAAACATCGAATGGAGTGACTTTGCAGACATATGTGCTATGTAACGATTCGCTAATTGTTTCGCACAACTGTAGGGAAGCCTGCCTATGAAATGGATCAAACAAATCCAGACTGGGTACCAACGCTACACATGGGGCACTCCGAAATCCGAACATCACATTCAGACCGTCACAGGAGGCGAACACAACGTCAACAAAATAAAGTACTATTTGGAGGTAAACGACAACCGCACCCCCAGCCACAGTCTCTTATTTTAAAAGTTGATCTTAGTCAATTAACACAAACATTTTTGAGTATTCATACGGCCCTAAAGTATACAAACCATTTAAAAGTTCCCTTGTGTATTTGCACTCTTTTTATTGGACAGGCTTTGACAATGGAGCAGCAGAGTGTGAAGGTGAAGCCTCAGCAGAAGTTACCACAGAAGAGCAGCCAGAGATGGACACCACCGAAGAGCAACACCATAACAACCTTGTTATTTTGGCTGAGGGACAAATTTGTGCTGGACAAGTAGAAGCAGAGGTAACGGGTGCTGATGCAGAAAACATTGATATCAGAGAAAAACAGACAGAAGATCAACAACTGACAAATGATTGTGTGCACTGTGTACAGAGCAGAGCAGAAATAAACCGGCTGCTGGAGGAGAACAGAAAGCTTAAATCAAAGTTGGACAAGACAGAGCTGAATGAAAACTTTTTAAAGGGTGACACGGAAAAAGTGAAATATTACACCGGTTTTACTTGTTTTGCTATTTTTATGTCCGTGCTCGAGAATGTAAAAGCTTTCCTACCAGCATCAAAGAAACTGTCGCATTTCCAAATGCTTTTACTCACACTTATGCGACTTAGACTTGATCTTCCTGTCCAGCATCTTAGTTATCTATTCAATGTCTCCTACAAAACTCTTTCTTCTGTCTTTTCTGATACAATTGACGTGTTGCATGCTCGCTTTGGAATACTTGTACACTGGCCAGAGAGGCACTGTTTGCAAGCAACAATGCCACCACAATTTACGGACACTTTTGGAAATCGTGTAGCCATCATTGTAGACTGTTTTGAAATTCGTACAGAACGACCATCTAATTTAAAGGCTCGTGCTCAAACGTACTCACACTACAAGGGTACACACACCATGAAATATCTGATCGGGATTACTCCACAAGGTGCAATTTCATTCATTTCTAAGGGGTGGGGGGGCCGTGCATCAGATAAACACATCACAGAGCAATGTGGCATACTTAACAAGCTGTTACCAGGGGATGTAGTTTTGGCTGACAGAGGCTTTGACATCAGAGATGCGGTGGGAATGATGTGTGCGGAGGTTAAGATCCCAGCATTTACAAGGGGCTTCTGTCAACTAGATGCCAAGGACATAGAAAATACACGAGCCATTGCACACCTAAGAATCCATGTTGAACGAGTAATTGGCAGTTTGCGCAACAAATTCAAAATGCTACATACTACCATGCCAATCCGTTCTCTTCTTCCATGTGAGGGTGAAGACGTTACCTTCCTTGATAAAATTGTGAGGGTGTGTTGTGTTTTGGTTAACATGTGCCCCAGTGTGGTAGTGAAACCAGGCACACATGAGACTTGTACTTGTTAATTAATAATTGTTTAAAAAAGGAAAACCTTTTTAGTTTTTTGTATGTGTGACTGTATGAACACATTGACATTGCGTTATGTAACCATTTCTGTACCTGTATACTATAAGCGAAAGTTTATCATCACTTTGAACTCTTTGTTTCACTAAAATTACGTTATAATAAAAGCAAGATAACAAATAACTGCTTTGCACTCTTTATTTCACACTTTGACAATTGGTACATGGTAAGTGCTGCACGTTTGAAATCAAGTTATACATATTTCAATGCACTTCTGACAAAAAACTAGACACCAGAAGAAAAAACGTTGTGACCACACGGGGCTGCATTTCGCTTAGAGAAATGTTTTCCTACAAGTTCAGGAAGGCACACCTTCTGAAAGAACTCCTGAGCTTTCTTTAAATGTGATTCCCAGAAGTGCACATCTGGTAAGATGCGTAAAATTGCCATGTCTTTTTGTGTCCATACCACGAGGTCACAGTGCTTTGCGTTGGCCACAAAGACCTGTGTTTGCACTTGTGAGTAAAAGCGATGTGTCTTCTTCAAGTTAAGTCCTTTTGCTGTCAATTCGAGGCAGAAGTCTTTGTCATGTGCATTCAATGCTTCCTGAATGCTGTCACATCGGTATTTAAATGGACATTTAATTTCTAGGCACCCCTTCCCACAACATTCACACATGGTTAGTCCATCAGGAGATGCTCCTACTTCAGGAAAAGCCGTGTTAACAAGGAAACCACACATACGGACCTGTAGGTTTTTGTGACATGCTGACATTACCTGGGTGTAGGCATGTCGAGCATCCTGTTCATGCTCCAGTCCCCAAGTTGTTTGCACATTACATACAGAGTTAACAGGGTAGCAAACACGATTAACCACAGTAATGGCGGGTTTTTCTACAGTGGTGGCAAACACAGCGTGCATCATTGAAGCTGTGATCCTCCCAGCACGCCAAACATACCATTCTGGGCTCTTGTGTTGCAGTCTTGTGCGTTCCTCAATAGCTTCTGCCTGTTCTTCAGTTACTTTAGCTGTGTTTATGTACTTTACGCAGTGCAGTTGTAGCTCGGTAAGGCCAAGGGACTGTGCACCTGTGCTGTGCAAACACGCCAGAGACAGTGGTAATGTGGATGACTGTACAGTGTGTGATGTGTAGTATTTCTCCAATCCAGACAAACACACTGCTTTATTGTGTTTTTGAAGTGTGTCTAACACTGGTGACAACTCCTCAAACGTAGCAGAGGGAATCTTTCTTTTTGAAGGACGGCTTCTTCTGCCTTTCACCACAGACGGTCCATTTATATTTTCATCAAGAGTCTTTTTTTGTGCTGCTGAAGACGTAAAGTCAATGTTATGGCCAACCTCTGGCTGTATCTTGGTTGTGTTCCCCGGCAAAACCCAGTAGGCTGGTTCATCTGTGACTGTCTTTGTGCCACGTATCCTCACTGTTGCCTCCACTTTAAACAGAAGTGCAGCGACATGGGTGCAGGTCTCAGCAACTCCGGCCATACAGGTGCAGTGTGCAGTTTCGACCTTCCCTGTGGTGCTTACAATTACCCATGGTCGTAATGCAGGTTCATTCAATCTTTGGGAGTGCAGTACCTGTAACATGCAAGGACAAGGTTGATGTAAAGACAATAAATGAAATGAGACAGGGAGGACACTGATTGGCGTTAATAATTTGCCCGATTATCAATGTGTTAATTTGCATCTACTATACAATTATGGGCACATAATATGATAACGATATTTTAACAGTTCAATGATAAAGATTTAACATTAATTATGGTGGGGGGTGGAAAATGGCTATGTCACTCGATGCACTCCAGCTGACGTACCTTAGTATGAATGACGACGTACTCAGATTTTGGCGGCTTGAAAATAGCCAAATCTTGCACCCAGCCATTTGTAAATTGGATATGCGCCTCCAGTGACTTGTAATTACGAAACTGGTTCGCAGTGTAAGCACTTACTCCACAAACAAGATAGGTGAAGATATCGGGGTAGGACAGTGGCGGTAAGTCGTCTGGGTCTTTACTCCACTGCCGTATGTCGTATGGGTCCAGATTTGCGATGCACTCAATTTTTTTCAAATACCGCTGCTTCGCCTCTGGACGCAATCGATCTCTATACCGTCCGTTTTCTTTCGAGCTGCTTTTAAGCGTGTTTCTTGTCGTAGTCGCCGTTCCAATACAGTGTATTTGTTTGGATCGTAGACCCCGAAAATGGAGCTGCGCTCCCACAATGCATTGCGGCGTGACGTCAACTCCGAAGCCCTATACACCGGGCTGTAAACATGTTTATTTCTGCTGAAAAGTTGCTTATTTTCAGCAATTGACTTCCTGTGTCATTCAGTGGTGCATTATGGGTAATCTGTCTGTCACTGACCGTGCTCCTGTGACGAGCCGCCATTGTCCAGCATTGTCCTTTTTTTGGACAACATCTGCCACTCCGACACCACCTTAAGGGAGTCCAGCTCCATCCACACAATATTACTGGACTTCTGGATCAGTTTACTGAGTCTGTTGGCGTCCATGACCCCTGACCTGCTGCCCCAGCATGCAACAGCATAGAGGACGGCACTGGCCACAACAGGGTCCTGGTCCTCCTAAAGTCCACAATCAGTTCTTTGGTCTTTGTCATGCTGAGCTGCAGATGATTCTGCTCGCACCACGTGACAAAGTAGTCCACCACAGCCTCACCAGACCACCGCATCGAAAACCTCTGAAGGTGGCAGGTCACTGAGCAGTGGCTGCAGTCTGTGGTGTCGAGGGTGAAGAGGAAAGTTACAGCCACTGGCCTATGGACACATATAACATAAAAAAAGAAAGAATTGCTTGCTCTTAGGTGCAACAGCAGTAGTTACAGTATTTATACATGAGATGTCATACCAACTAGTAGACACACTTAGATTATAACAAACACAGAGCGTCATTCTCTGCTAACGAGACCATTGCTCCACTTTATGTTTATAAATAAAAAAATGTACTGACATGTTAGATTTTGTATACTCATGTGTGTATATATGTGATACAAATACATATATAAACTCTCTGATCAGCTTTTTCCTATTTCAGGTGAGTTTTGTGGTAATTGTGCTTTACTTCATACAGCAGTAGTTAAGAGGAAACTTGTAGTTTAACCTTTCTTGACACAGCATTTCTCATGCTTGTTATTTACCTTCCTTTATCTTCCACCCTCATCTTTCCCAGCCTCAGTGAAGACATTAGCTCAGATAATTTGTTTAAAAGGTGCAGGCAGGTTAGGAGGAGGCCTCGTTATCCGGCTCTGTCTTTTCAAACAGTGAAAGCGAGCCCTTTTCTCTGAGCCCCCTCCTCCACTCTGCTTGTTTAGCTGCAGCCATGCATGCTTAAAAACGAGGGAGGAGGACGGCACGTCCTGCAAATTAGCAGGTTGATTTCCCTCGCTGGGTTTGGACAGAGGATGCTGCGGCTCGTCGGCATGCCTCAAACACCGAGTCTGCAGTCACAGTGGCTGAGTGAAGATGGCCGCCTCTGATTCAAAACGCTCCAGCCAGTGTTTTTACAGCCATGGATTACCCAAATGTCTGCTGCATGGTCGGTTTAGCTCTAGCAACTGCAGGACTGCACAATTCAAGCTGGAGACACAACAACGCTGATGTACTTTTCTGAGCAGGTTTCTGTAGAATATCATTTCAACACTTGTTAAATTTCTTAGGACATGTATGGCTGTTACTGAGGCTGGAGACAGGACAAACTGGAGCCTCATTTATCTGCTGATAAACAGACTGTATTTTTGATCTCGTCTGCTGTAAACTTCAGTTACTTTAGTAAGTTATTTAGAGGAAAGGCCTGACACAAGCCAAACAAAACCTATTTAAAAAGTAGATTGTTGATGAATTTACTATTAGCTTCCTCTTGTCTTTGTCCCATTCAGTAAAGACTCATAGTTGTGTGTTTTTCATTCTATAACTTAACAACTCACTTAACACTATTCTCAGTACGTTCATAGCTAGCCTTAGCTAGCTAACTCTTTTACGTTTTTGTGTTGGAATACATTTTAAAAGTAACCTTCCCAACACTGCCAGCAAGTCTTCACTCCCTGGTTTCTGGAGGGATTTTGAAACCTCAGTGCTGGTCTTATGGAAGCTGTCGTTTTGTTTTCTGAAGTCAATTTTGACCGTCTTTGGATGAGAGGGTGGAATGCTAAGCTATCAGCTAATAGTAGTTAGCTTTGTTATAAGCTGATCCAAAGACTGCAGCAGTGTGTCACATAGACACTGAAATCCTAGAATTTCATTCACTAAAAGCGAGCTTAGACTTTTTGAACGGTCTGTGAGTATAATTAACCACAAAGAAGACATCATTGGTAAGATAACGGTATTAAAAAGACACAAAGGTCCCCTCCTGGGACCACCTGTGTTGCCATACACCTGTCAGTCAAATAGGCCACGCCCCTAATTATGCAAACTTTTACCTCAACAATACACCGGGCTGTAAACATGTTTATTTCTGCTGCAAAGTTGCTTATTTTCAGCAATTGACTTCCTGTGTCATTCAGTGGTGCATTATGGGTAATCTGTCTGTCACTGACCGTGCTCCTGTGACGAGCCGCCATTGTCCAGCATTGTCCTTTTTTTGGACAACATCTGCCACTCCGACACCACCTTAAGGGAGTCCAGCTCCATCCACACAATATTACTGGACTTCTGGATCAGTTTACTGAGTCTGTTGGCGTCCATGACCCCTGACCTGCTGCCCCAGCATGCAACAGCATAGAGGACGGCACTGGCCACAACAGGGTCCTGGTCCTCCTAAAGTCCACAATCAGTTCTTTGGTCTTTGTCATGCTGAGCTGCAGATGATTCTGCTCGCACCACGTGACAAAGTAGTCCACCACAGCCTCACCAGACCACCGCATCGAAAACCTCTGAAGGTGGCAGGTCACTGAGCAGTGGCTGCAGTCTGTGGTGTCGAGGGTGAAGAGGAAAGTTACAGCCACTGGCCTATGGACACATATAACATAAAAAAAGAAAGAATTGCTTGCTCTTAGGTGCAACAGCAGTAGTTACAGTATTTATACATGAGATGTCATACCAACTAGTAGACACACTTAGATTATAACAAACACAGAGCGTCATTCTCTGCTAACGAGACCATTGCTCCACTTTATGTTTATAAATAAAAAAATGTACTGACATGTTAGATTTTGTATACTCATGTGTGTATATATGTGATACAAATACATATATAAACTCTCTGATCAGCTTTTTCCTATTTCAGGTGAGTTTTGTGGTAATTGTGCTTTACTTCATACAGCAGTAGTTAAGAGGAAACTTGTAGTTTAACCTTTCTTGACACAGCATTTCTCATGCTTGTTATTTACCTTCCTTTATCTTCCACCCTCATCTTTCCCAGCCTCAGTGAAGACATTAGCTCAGATAATTTGTTTAAAAGGTGCAGGCAGGTTAGGAGGAGGCCTCGTTATCCGGCTCTGTCTTTTCAAACAGTGAAAGCGAGCCCTTTTCTCTGAGCCCCCTCCTCCACTCTGCTTGTTTAGCTGCAGCCATGCATGCTTAAAAACGAGGGAGGAGGACGGCACGTCCTGCAAATTAGCAGGTTGATTTCCCTCGCTGGGTTTGGACAGAGGATGCTGCGGCTCGTCGGCATGCCTCAAACACCGAGTCTGCAGTCACAGTGGCTGAGTGAAGATGGCCGCCTCTGATTCAAAACGCTCCAGCCAGTGTTTTTACAGCCATGGATTACCCAAATGTCTGCTGCATGGTCGGTTTAGCTCTAGCAACTGCAGGACTGCACAATTCAAGCTGGAGACACAACAACGCTGATGTACTTTTCTGAGCAGGTTTCTGTAGAATATCATTTCAACACTTGTTAAATTTCTTAGGACATGTATGGCTGTTACTGAGGCTGGAGACAGGACAAACTGGAGCCTCATTTATCTGCTGATAAACAGACTGTATTTTTGATCTCGTCTGCTGTAAACTTCAGTTACTTTAGTAAGTTATTTAGAGGAAAGGCCTGACACAAGCCAAACAAAACCTATTTAAAAAGTAGATTGTTGATGAATTTACTATTAGCTTCCTCTTGTCTTTGTCCCATTCAGTAAAGACTCATAGTTGTGTGTTTTTCATTCTATAACTTAACAACTCACTTAACACTATTCTCAGTACGTTCATAGCTAGCCTTAGCTAGCTAACTCTTTTACGTTTTGTGTGTGTGTGTGTGTGTGTGTATCCGGTTGTTCAGTGATGACGCGACGAATCCTACTTCCGGGTCTAAAGTAGTCTGCGTTTAATATGGCTTTTGTGTTATTAACATGTTTAATGTTTTGTATTTTCTTCTATTTGATCTCAAAAAGCTCCTAAAACAGTCAGTGATCCCTGTTGACCTCCCTCGGCTCCCTCACTAATCATTTATTTAAGCTCAGTTTTTAAAACCTTAGGATGTAACTGCAGCCCAGCCCATGCAGCAGTATATGAATGACTAACCTCGTATTGTGGATGGATTATCTCAGTTGTTCTCCTGGCTGAAGTTTGGTCCTTTTACAGCATCCTGCCATGCAATTACATTTGTTCCTGACCGAGAACACTCACGGTAACTTTTATCGAGTGGAAAAAAAGTTAGCTTGTTAATATTATGCTAACATAGCTGTGTCGCTAGCGGTCACGTAGCACATCATTATATACCAGCTAGCCCAACTTCAGTAACCCTACAAACGTCACTGCTGTTTAGTTTTCTGTCTTCATTTATGCTGGAAGTGATAACAGAGCTGTACGTTTTAATTTGTTTCCAAAACCCCGCAGTCAGGACATGCTATATTGTATTTAGATAGAAGCTAGCGAGCTAACTCCCTGCTAACTTCTAACTCCGTTAAATGTCATAAATTCCGTTTTCATGGATGCCTGGATGTTAAACTCAATTGTTACACCTGGTAGAGCAGAACGCTGATCATTTTATTAAAGATGAAAGACTTTAGACAGTTTTTCAACTCTCAGTAATGCCATAGTGATCGTTTGATATATGGACCTGCAGCGGAATTTAGACCCAGACACGGCTAGTGACGTCAGACTGAACAATATATCCTGACACTAAAAATAAACTCTAAAAAGTTGTTTCATGTGTCTTTTCATTCTGATTGATATGATTCACAAAATACTCAGTGCTAAGAAACACACCATAGCATATCATTCAAGTACAGAGATCAAATTACAGTTCTGAGTTTTGATTCCACATAATTTAACCAAGTTATTCCTGCTTTGTCACTATTGAATAC